GCCTCTTGGGGGCCTCACGAAATTCGTGAAGGGCCTCCTGGGGCCTTCTTCGGTCCTCCCGGGCGCCTCCTGGGTGCCACCCTGTTTCGACCGCGGTCTCCCGGAACGAGCGGGCCACGGTTTGGAATGCTTCGGGGGGCGTCTTGGCGCCATCTTGGGCCGTCATGGGGCTCTCTTCGGGCCATCTTGAGGCCCCGTTGGGCCGTCTTGAGGCTCTCTTGGACTGCCTGGAAGCCCTCGCGGGTGGCTGTGGGGCGATTTTCGGGCCTCCTGGGCAGTCTCGGACGCCCGGAAGTCCGAAGGACAGAGCATTCCCCAAGTCACATGAAACCCTATGAGGAGTCTTTTTCCCAACCATCCTGTGGTGTTGGGTCCTCGTTTTGAAGAGACGGTGCCCCGCGTTCCCCTCCTTCCTCTCCTCCTCCCTCCTCCCATGGGTGTTCGCATGCGGTTCCCCCACCCAGGGCAGCGTTTCGTGGCCCCATAGGGAGCTCCACCGAAGGCCCCAGTGGGGGTGTTCGCATGCGGTTCCCCCACCCAGGGCAGCGTTTCGTGGCCCCATAGGGAGCTCCACCGAAGGCCCCAGTGGGGGTGTTCGCATGCGGTTCCCCCACCCAGGGCAGCGTTTCGTGGCCCCATAGGGAGCTCCACCGAAGGCCCCAGTGGGGGTGTTCGCATGCGGTTCCCCCACCCAGGGCAGCGTTTCGTGGCCCCATAGGGAGCTCCACCGAAGGCCCCAGTGGGGGTGTTCGCATGCGGTTCCCCCACCCAGGGCAGCGTTTCGTGGCCCCATAGGGAGCTCCACCGAAGGCCCCAGTGGGGGTGTTCGCATGCGGTTCCCCCACCCAGGGCAGCGTTTCGTGGCCCCATAGGGAGCTCCACCGAAGGCCCCAGTGGGGGTGTTCGCATGCGGTTCCCCCACCCAGGGCAGCGTTTCGTAGCCCCATAGGGAGCTCCACCGAAGGCCCCAGTGGGGGTGTTCGCATGCGGTTCCCCCACCCAGGGCAGCGTTTCGTAGCCCCATAGGGAGCTCCACCGAAGGCCCCAGTGGGGGTGTTCGCATGCGGTTCCCCCACCCAGGGCAGCGTTTCGTGGCCCCATAGGGAGCTCCACCGAAGGCCCCAGTGGGGGTGTTCGCATGCGGTTCCCCCACCCAGGGCAGCGTTTCGTAGCCCCATAGGGAGCTCCACCGAAGGCCCCAGTGGGGGTGTTCGCATGCGGTTCCCCCACCCAGGGCAGCGTTTCGTGGCCCCATAGGGAGCTCCACCGAAGGCCCCAGTGGGGGTGTTCGCATGCGGTTCCCCCACCCAGGGCAGCGTTTCGTAGCCCCATAGGGAGCTCCACCGAAGGCCCCAGTGGGGGTGTTCGCATGCGGTTCCCCCACCCAGGGCAGCGTTTCGTGGCCCCATAGGGAGCTCCACCGAAGCTCCACCGAAGGCCCCAGTGGGGGTGTTCGCATGCGGTTCCCCCACCCAGGGCAGCGTTTCGTGGCCCCATAGGGAGCTCCACCGAAGGCCCCAGTGGGGGTGTTCGCATGCGGTTCCCCCACCCAGGGCAGCGTTTCGTAGCCCCATAGGGAGCTCCACCGAAGGCCCCAGTGGGGCATGCGTCCCGCAATTCGGCCACCCCCACACGTTTCGTGGCCCCCATAGGGAGCTCCACCGAAGGCCCCAGTGCTGCCGTCCGCATGCGTCCCGCACACCCATTTCGGCACACCCCTCACACGTTTCGTGGCCCCATAGGGAGCTCCACCGAAGGCCCCATGGCTGCCGTCCGCATGCGTCCCGCACACCCATTTCGGCACACCCCTCACACGTTTCGTGGCCCCACAGGGAGCTCCACCGAAGGCCCCAGTGCTGCCGTCCGCATGCGTCCCGCACACCCATTTCGGCACACCCCTCACACGTTTCGTGGCCCCACAGGGAGCTCCACCGAAGGCCCCAGTGGCTGCCGTCCGCATGCGTCCCGCACACCCATTTCGGCACACCCCTCACACGTTTCGTGGCCCCATAGGGAGCTCCACCGAAGGCCCCATGGCTGCCGTCCGCATGCGTCCCGCACACCCATTTCGGCACACCCCTCACACGTTTCGTGGCCCCACAGGGAGCTCCACCGAAGGCCCCAGTGCTGCCGTCCGCATGCGTCCCGCACACCCATTTCGGCACACCCCTCACACGTTTCGTGGCCCCATAGGGAGCTCCACCGAAGGCCCCATGGCTGCCGTCCGCATGCGTCCCGCACACCCATTTCGGCACACCCCTCACACGTTTCGTGGCCCCATAGGGAGCTCCACCGAAGGCCCCATGGCTGCCGTCCGCATGCGTCCCGCACACCCATTTCGGCACACCCCTCACACGTTTCGTGGCCCCACAGGGAGCTCCACCGAAGGCCCCAGTGCTGCCGTCCGCATGCGTCCCATTTCGGCACACTCCACCGTTCCCCGTCCCACACACCCATTTCGGCACACGCCTCACACGTTTCGTGGCCCCATAGGGAGCTCCACCGAAGGCCCCATGGCTGCCGTCCGCATGCGTCCCGCACACCCCGGCACACCCCTCACACGTTTCGTGGCCCCCGCTCCACCGAAGGCCCCACCCATTGCGTCGGCACACCCCTCACACGTTTCGTGGCCCCATAGGGAGCTCCACCGAAGGCCCCATGGCTGCCGTCCGCATGCGTCCCGCACACCCATTTCGGCACACCCCTCACACGTTTCGCCCACGCTCCACCGAAGCCCCAGTGCTGCCGTCCGCATGCGTCCCGCACACCCATTTCGGCACACCCCTCACACGTTTCGTGGCCCCATAGGGAGCTCCACCGAAGGCCCCATGGCTGCCGTCCGCATGCGTCCCGCACACCCATTTCGGCACACCCCTCACACGTTTCGTGGCCCCACAGGGAGCTCCACCGAAGGCCCCAGTGCTGCCGTCCGCATGCGTCCCGCACACCCATTTCGGCACACCCCTCACACGTTTCGTGGCCCCATAGGGAGCTCCACCGAAGGCCCCATGGCTGCCGTCCGCATGCGTCCCGCACACCCATTTCGGCACACCCCTCACACGTTTCGTGGCCCCACAGGGAGCTCCACCGAAGGCCCCATGGCTGCCGTCCGCATGCGTCCCGCACACCCATTTCGGCACACCCCTCACACGTTTCGTGGCCCCACAGGGAGCTCCACCGAAGGCCCCAGTGCTGCCGTCCGCATGCGTCCCGCACACCAGGTGTGTGGCGTGCCGACATGGGCGTCGCGGCGCGCGGGCGCTGCCGTCGGGGTTCCCAGGGAAGCCCCCTGCAGAGGCGACGCTCAGAGTCACGAGTACCGAGAGTCACGCAGACCCAAACTGTTCACAGTCGTATACATACATTTACACTGGGCGTATCCATGCACGCATTCATGCGAATAGAATCAATCGCGCGCAGATTCATTCATAATCAGACTCGCTCGCGATCCGACTCGCACGCGCTCAAGCTTTCATATTCGGACCTATCGTCTTCGTTCGTGTTGTGTACACTGCCACGCATTTCGGCACACCCCTCATACGGCTCGTGGCCCCATAGGGAGCGCCACCGAAGAAGATATTCACAATTGCGGTACTCTCAACTGCATATGGTTGGGTCCTTCGCCAGGCTAATTTTTTTTGGTTGTTGCGTTTCGGAGGCCTCTTAAGGGTCTTCTTTGGGTCGTCTTCGGGCGTCCGGTGTGTGTCTGGGTTCTCTTGGGGCCCTCGCGGGGCCGTTCGGCCGTTCTCTTCACGGATATGGGCTTGTTGCCTAGGGAGCCCCAAAAGCCCAGGGAACCTTCTGATGGAGCGTTCAGGGGGCTTCTGGGGCCTTCTCAATCTGGGGGTCTCGTTGTGGGGGGGTGATTCCGCGCCCCCCTAGGATTGAAATATTTACGAAAGGGAATGGATAGAGATAGGCAGAAAGAGACAGAGAGAGAGAGAGAACAAACAAACAAACAACAACGATAAACGAAAAATGAGCGCGGGAGTGGGGAGGATAATGGCAGGTTTTTGCAACGTCTCTTACTACGTCTTCGAACCCCTTTGGCCCTCTTTGTCCTCTCTGCGGTCTCTGCAGAGGCTCCCCGAGGCGTCTCGGGCTCTTCTTGGAGCTATCTTGGGCCGTCTGGGGCACTCCAGGTGTCTTCTTATGTTGTGTTGGCGTCGGGTTGGTGCTTCATCGAAATCTTCGAGGGCCCCTCCGGAGATCCTTTTGGGCCGTCTTGGGGCCGTCTCGGGGCCCTCTGGAGCACTCCTGAAGCCACATGGTGCCTTCTGGCGCACTCCTGAAACGCATGGCGCATGGATTGCAAATCCGCATGCGACAATCCTGAAGTTTTGTGGTGCTTCGGCTGTCTCGGGCCTCTTTTGGGACATTCGGGGCCCTCTGTTTGGGCATCTCGTCTGTTTCTTGGCGCTCATTGGGGCCGCTTGCGTCGTCTTGGGACCCCTTGGGTCCGTCTTGGTGACGCTCAGGAGCGTCTTGTGGCATCGTGCATCCTGGGCGCCCCAAATCGTTTCAGCACTCCCGCCCACTCGCGTTTCGCAGCTCCAGCCCCCCCCCCCCCAGGCATGGGCGGGAGGAGTCGGCTCCTGCCGCGTCGGTACCCCTGCTGGGTCGGCGAACTGTCTATCTGTTTGACGTCCACGTCCTCGGGGCAGAGGCGTTCGAGGCTGGAGGGCTGAAGACCCTCCTCGAGGCCGAGTGGGTGACCAAAGTCTTCTTCGACGTGCGCGGCGACAACGACGCGCTGCACCACCAGTTCGGCGTCGACGTGCGGGGCGCCTACGACGCCCAGGTCCTGTGGCACCTGCGCTTCCAGCACCCGGAGGACCCGTACCTGCAGGGCCTGAAGAGCGGGCAGTGCCCAGGGGGGGGTCCCCGCTCCGGGGGGGGGGGGGCCACCGGCTCTTCCTCGGGATCGGAGGGTCGAGGCCCCGGGGCCGAGGCGGCGAGGACGTTCTCTCGGATCCTCGGGGTCTTTTGGGGGGGGGGTCCCTGGAGCGCCCTCGGGGTCCCGGTCTCCGAGGGGGAAGGGCGCCTCCTCGAGAGAGCGTGCGCCCCCGCCAGGCTCGGCGGCGAGCGATGGGGGGGGAAGCGAGGAGGCGACGGCCTGCTCAGAAGGCTCGGAGGTACCCGGCCGTCCGAGGAGTTTTCGAAGCCTTCCCCGAAGGCAGAGAACAGGCTTCCCAGAAGGCGCGAGGGCGTCTGAGAAGTCCCGCCGCCTTTGAGGAGGCCCTCTCCTTCTCTCGTTTCCCCCCCTCGCTCGCCGCCGACCAGTGGTGACCCCTCTCGGCAGTGCCCGGGAAGAGGGTCCAGGACCTGTTCCTGGAGGAGTCGGGGGCGCTGACCCCGAGGTCGGCCGCCGACCTCCGCGGGGTGAAGGAGGCCGGGCAGCGCCTGTTCGCTCCCGGCCTGGGGGGCAGCTACTCGGTGTGGAAGGAGCGGCCTCTCAGCCCCGAGCTGGTCAGGTACGCGGCCGCCGACGTGCGCTTCCTCCTTGGCATGCGGAGGCACTGGAGCTTCGGCGACGCGGCCCGGGCGCAGGCGCTGGACGCTGCCGTGCGAGAGCGCAGCGCCGAGCGCATCCGCGCGTTTGTGGCGCTGCCCGACGAGCGCGCGCTCGACCAGGCCGCGAAGAGGATCCGCGACTTCGGCATCCCTGGCGGCGGCGAGGGTTTCAACGATACGGGCGCCACCAGCCAGAGAGTGGGCATCCCGCAGAGCAAGCGCGGCCGCGTCATCGGCAAGGGCGGCTCCACGAGGCTGGCGATCGAGGCCCAGTCTGGGGCCAGAGTTGTCCTGAGGGAGAGCGAGGACTGCCTCCTGCTGGGCCAGCCGGAGCAGGTCCAGGAGGCCGCGAGGATAATCCTAGAGCTGGTCTCGTGACCGTCCACCCGCATGACAGCGCCGCGAGGGAGGGGGTCCCTGGACAGGCTTGGGGGCCCCGCGGACGACAGTGCGGCCTCCTGTCGAGATCCCAGGTCGGAGCAGCGTTCGATGCCCCATACTACTGGCGCAACTAAGATCGAGGTTGTTTTTGCTGTCGCTCTACCGAGCTGCCTGCGGCAAGTCCCGCCGTCGTGCCAGCCCAGAATTCTGGGTGGCGACTGTTCGAGGGGGCACGGGAGGCCGTCACGTGTGACCACTCGTGTTCCTAGGCTTGGTGGAACCGTGATGGTGGTGGTGGTGCTGCTGCTGATGACGATGACGATGCCGATGACGATGACGATGATGCTGCTGCTGCGGATGATGTTGAGGATGATGGTGATGCTGATGGTGATGGCGATGGTGGTGATGATGATGCTGAGGATGATTTTGATGATGCTGATGATGCTGAGGATGATGGTAATGTTGACGATGATGACGATGACGATGACGATGGCGATGCCGATGATGCTGATGAGGATGATGCTGATGATGATGATGTTGATGCTGCTGATGATGACGACGATGATTATGTCGATGATGCTGATGCTGCCAATAATGAGGAGGAGGACAACGACGAAGGCAAGGAAGAGGAGGACGAGGATGATGATGATGCTGACGATGCTGCTGCTGATGATGATGCGATGATGGTGATGAGGATGATGAGATTGATGCTGCTGCTGATGATGAAGATGATTCTGATGCTGCTGATGATGATGAGGATGAGGATGCTGAGGATGATGAGGATGAGGATGAGGATGAGGATGAGGATGAGGATGAGGGTGAGGATGAGGATGATGGTGATGCTGATGATGATGATGATGATGATGATGATGATGATGATGATGCTGATGCTGATGCTGATGCTGATGCTGATGCTGATGCTGCTGATGATGATGCTGCTGATGATGATGATGATGCTGATGCTGACGCTGATGATGATGATGAGGATGAGGATGAGAATGAGGATGAGAATGAGGATGAGGATGAGAATGAGGATGATGTGGAGAAGGATGAGGCGGAGGAGGAGGTGGAGGAGGAGGAGGAGGAGGAGGCGGATGACGAGGAGGCGGAGCATGAGGAGGAAAGCCGTTTGCGGGAACTCTATCCCCCGCACTCTCCCCCGGCGCCGCGCCCCGCCCGCGCGGCCGCTTTCGGGGTCGCCGGCCTTCGCACGCCGCCGCGCCATCGGAGGCGGGCGGCTCGCGTACCACGACAAGGTGGGCGACGGCGACGACAGCGTCATCCACCAGCGGGTGACCATCGGGGAGGGGGCGATGAAGCGCCACTGCAGCATCAACCACCAGTTGTTGAAGTTCAAGGCGGGCGTCTTCAGGATAGCTGACGCCTTCGAGACCTGCCCACCCTGGTGGAGGCCTGCCGGCAGGTATGCCAAGACCAGACTCCGCACGCAGCCCTCGATCACCGAACCCAGCGCGACGGTCGAATCCGACCTCAGGATCCACACGAAAAGCCTCGCCGCCCGCGTTGTGAAACCTACGATCAACGTGGCGAGCCACGTGATCCACGCGCATTGCAGCACCACCGTCGTGTAGAGCCTCACGCTCGCCGTGGCGGATCCCCACGATTTGCGCGCGGCGCCCTGTGACCTGCGTGCGGAACCTCGCGACCTGCGTACGGAACCTCACGATCATCGTGCGGGCCATTTCGGTCCCCGTAAGAAGCCTCGCGTTGAGCCTCACGATCTACGTTTGGTTTTTCACGGTTGGTGTACTGAGCCCCGTGGTCAGCGAGCGGGGCTTCGCGACGCATAGCCCGACCTGAACCCCGACGCCCCGATTTCCGTCGGGAATACATACGGCCCCGAGGGCGACCGGTGCGAGTGCGAGTATGGGGTCTTCCACGACTCCTACCGCTGTGACAGACACGCGTGCGACAACGAGTGCGACGCGATCCCAGGATGGTGGGCAGGAGGCGTGCTACTACCAACGCCAGCTGCTGAGCGGCGGGAGCCACCACCTCAGCTACGAGGGCCAAGGGTTGAGCTGAGAGGGCCACGAGCTGAGGTACGAGAGCCACCGGCCGAAGCACGAGGGCGGAGCTCTGAGCTGTGGGGGCCACGTGCAGAGCTGCGGGCACGACCAACATCACTACCAGGGCCACCGGCCAAAGTGCGAGGGTCCCCGTTTGTGGTACGAGAGCCACCACCAGAAGTACGAGGACCGCTTGCAGAGGAGGCAGAAGCGACACATCGACCAGGGAGAGGTTGGAGAGGCACCCAGATGGCATACGAGGGCGAGGCGAGCTGTCTTGCCCGACGGGCAGCACGAACGACGGGGGCGCCTGCGAGTTAGCCAAGCAGGCGCGCGTTGCGTAACTAGCGAGGCGACAAGTCATTGCAAGCCGCAGCAGACCATGCAGCTCCTCACGATCCACGGGCACAGCCTCACGACCTGCGCACCAAGCCACATCATCCGCGTCCCGTACCTCGCGATGCGCGTGCCGATCCACACCCTCCCCATGCAGAACGTCACGAAGTACATGCAGTACCCCACGACTCAGGATAAAGCATGGAAGGCGAGGAAGACGGAGGAGGCCTGGGAGGTGGAGGAGAGTCGGGTGCAGAAGGAGGAGAGACGGAGGAGGTGGAGGTGGAGGATGCAGACCCAATACTGCGTGAGGGGTCTGAATGCGATGATAACCGCGAGGTTGTTATTGTCAGCAATGACGTAAAAGTACCTGCGAAGATATCAGCAGTGATAGGCGATTTATGTTGCTTAGCGGCACCTGCGAGGTGTCTACCGATACGCCCAAGCTCAAGGGCCCTTAAAGGATTGAGCCCAAATAGTTACGAAAGAGCATCTGCTTGCTGGCATGCTATGCTACACTGCTTACAGATCAGCAGTGACACTATTTATTTCACACTCGTGCAAAATTCTTCTGATCTGTGCATCTGCCGATATAGCGCATTTAGACGTGGTGATGGCACGTCAACGAGCTAAAATGAAACCAGGCGCACTGCGCGCTTGAAAAGTGAGCCGGCACTGGTCAGGTGTGCCTCGTGCTCTCTGGCCTGGTCCGTCGGCTCTTGATGCTGCAAAGCGAGACGTGTGTCTCGCAGCACTGCCCTGATGGCACTGCCGTCCGATCGCTTGGTGAACTGATCTCCGAGCTGCTGGTCAGTCGGAACCCAAAAGAGGGGTAGTTGGCTGCGCTGATCGTCAGCGACAAACTCGTTGCTAACTTCCTCTTCTAGTGACTCCTTGAGGCCCACTAGGTCGAGCAAAAGGCGCCGCTCTGACGGGAGCTTGGAATAACCGTCTTTATGCATCGTATCGTACAAGCTGGCGCAATCTGTGACCTGAGCGAGCGGCAACAGACTCGGCGGGATGTCCTCTGGATGGGCATCCGGAATCTCTGGCGAAGCGAAAACACAGCGTGTAATCCGAGCACAGCCTAGAGCGTCTACTGCCGACATCGTTTCGGCTGCCAACGTAGATCTGCAAACTCTCTTAATGGTGCCCGATCTCCAATCAACAATTCCTGCTCGAGCTCGATCTCCGCGTAGTAGCTTGGCTTCTGCGAGAAAACTCACGTAGCCAGCCTGCGAGCGAATCTGGATCTTCTTGTCCGTACTGGTTGCCCCCGCGGTCTTGGCGAGCAACTTGGAGATGGCGCCTTCAGCTGGCTCGTCAGCGTTGGCCCAACTGGCGTCGTGGTACGTCACCAGGCACAGAGGTCCACGTAACTTAGGGAACTCCAAACCCACGTCCGCGTGCTTCCGCGCCAACTTGATGAGCCTGTTCGTCTCGAGCAAGTCCTGGATGGTGGGCTTGTTCTGGGTCCGCTGCCCCATGGCCACTCCAGCTGCCAGGTCGGGACGAGTCTGCGATGAAAGCCGCCCGAGCGCTCCGAGTGCGGAGCGGTTGTCCGAGAACTCGGCTGGCGTAGCATCTGACGACAGGTCCGTATTGCGCTCCTTGCTGAGCGGAATCTCCTCGATGGTGTTCGCGTATTCGGTCTGTCGTAGATGTAGTACTTCCTCTTGATCTCGCCAGGCCTGCTTGCCGCAAAAGGTAAAAAGGCAAGCCTCGCCAGTCGCCCCAGGGCAAAAGCTTGTGAAGCCTGTCGTAGAGGCCCGGGTACTTGCGCGAGATCCCCAGCAGCAAGTCGTCCACGTGGGCGACCACCACCGCACAGAGCTCACCGTGCTGGTCGTAGCCGTAGTACAGCGCTGGGTCTAGCGAGTGCTGGTTTAGGCGAAACACGTAGTTGTCGCTCAGCTTCTCCTCCACCGCCAGCAATGTCCTCTTGAGCTTCGCCCACCATTGTCTCGGTGCCGTGGCCAGCCCGAAAACTCCCTTGAGGATTTTGATCAGCTGCTTCGGGTTCAGCCCAGGCAAACCTTCGCGAGGCTGGGCCATGTACAGCTGCTGGTCGGGCTGCTCGTCGCCTTGCATGAAAGCCGCCTCCACGTCCGCCGCGTAGATCTCCAGGTCGAACCTCTGGCAGATGGTGAAGAACAGCATGGTCGAGTTGCGGGTGACCGTGGACGCGTCCGTCCGCAGGTCGCCCTGAGCGAGGCGCGGGTCCATGTGACCCCCGACGCAGAGTCGGGCCCTTGCCTTGACCGGCAGCGGATGCTTGTCGGTCCGCAGCGGGGCGTTCTTGTCCCGGTACACGAACCGGCTGGGCAGGATGAGGCTGGGCTGGATGAGGCTGGGCTTGATCATGCCCCTGATCGCCTCGGACTCCTCGATGGAGAGTACCTGACAAGAGCCAAACTTCTGCCACTCGCTCCACTGCTTGGCGGCCGCCTCCCTGAAGAGCTCCCGATCAGAGTCCTTGATGGCCCTCCAGTGGATCTCCTTGTCGGCCTGCTTGCGCTTGATCCTCTCGGTCACGATGGAGGTTTGCAATGCTTGTCTTGGAGCCGACCTCGAACGTTGGCGGGCTCCTCCTGCTTCGGGTCCGGCCGCTGCCTCCTGATCGGGGGCCGCCGCGCGGTCCCGCGAAGTTGCCCTTGCGGGCAGGGCGCCAGAGCCTGCGTGCTCCCTCTCGGTCTGGAGTCGCTGGAAGGCCGGGCCGAAGTCGCCGCTGTCCCCTCCGTCGGAGGTAGCTCGACGTCGTCGGAACTCGTCAGGGCCGTAGGTTCGCTCTTCTTCAGCTTGTTGCGGCACGTCGGCAGGCAGCACCTGGATCTGCTCCTGCTGGGGCGGATCCTCGGAGACGTTCAGCCTGAGGTCGCCGTCGTCCGGGTTGTCGATGAATTCCCGCCACGCCTGCTCC